GGCAACCTGTTCCAGTGCCTCGCCCCCCTCATAATAATTTTCTTCAGTTTGAGGCCATTCCCCTTTTTCCTATCAGTACATGCTCTTGTAAATAGCCTCTCTCCATGTTTTTTGTGGGCTCCCTTCAGGTGTTGGATGGCTACAATTAGGTGACCTCAAAGCCTTCTCTTTTCCTGTCTAATTGGTATAATTTTGAGAATAATTTTGAGTTTCTATGCTTATGGTGGTGCCACACCTTCTTTGGCTTCACTGTACTTCCAGAACCTCTGGAAAAGTCTCACAATGTTCAGAACTATCTCACAGTCTGTAGGACTGAGGTCAAAATGTGTCACTCTTGCCCTTTCTCAGTAATTTTTGGGACAACTCACCTTTCCTTCTGGGCAAGGATATATATTCTTGGAAAACACCAGAGGACTTGGATAATTTGAATAGTTGACTTCTATTCACATTGTTGTAAGGGAATAATGGTCTTTCACCCAAATGAGTACATTCTTTAATTCAGTTTATAACTCACAATGACCGTGAGAGATGAGCTAATCTGTGGTGCTTTCAATTCCAGCTTTGTAGCTTGAGAGCACCAAGATTTAAGGGTTCCTTTTTTTTCCCTCTGACTGAGTTAAGCTGGGGGTTGATATTTAAACAATGTAAGGACAGGGCAGACCCAGCCCTGGTATCCAGCTGAGAATTAGACACCAATCTTTTAGTAGTCATACCTCATTTGGCCTAATTCTCAGATTAACATTTACATTTTGGGTGGGAACATATTCCAATCACCTGTTATTAACCCTATTATCATACTGAATATAATCCTTTTTGTTAATATATGGCCATTATCTTTTTTGTCCCTGTTTCTCTTTGGAAATCTATTCCAGAACTTACTTGCTCTTATCCATAAGAAACCTCTTCCAATTCTAAATGTTTTCATTACAGGGTTTTTTTTAAAGTTTTTTCTTACAGCAACTTTAAATTTTAGCTAAATTGATTTGGCAGAGAACACTCTCAGAGTCAGACTGATGTTTTTTGAATAAGCTTATAAATCTGTAATTCCAGTGCTCTCCAGTTTTCTTCAAGGAAAAAGTACATGTTTCCTCCTGCCCAGCACTCCTTTGATACCAAGAGCTATTTATTTGCTTAGAGCAACTCTTCAGTTTTGGGACTTTCTTTTAATTTTACTTTTGCAGCCTGAAATATGTAGTCTCTCATAGCAGATATTAAAGAGAAATTCAGCACATACTACCCAGGAGCAACATTGCTACTAATTGCTTACCCAGAGGATAAATAATGAAACAGCTTTACTGTGAAAAGAATTAATGAGGAACATAATTTTTTATGGATAAGAAAATTGTATCATCCACTCAACTTTACCATTGCAGCTTTAATTTTTTGTGTGATTTGGTGATAAATATTTGTGTGACCTTTGATGTGTACTTGTCTGGGTATTGGGATTCCCTCAGCTTCTCTTTTAGTGTTAATGAGCAGAATGCACAAAAAATATTTTTCCTGAACTTGCCCTAATTTTATGGGACATGGGTGCTCTGGTGGGACTAAGCCTTTTGCTGAGGGATTACTGTCAGATTCTGCAGACATGAATGGCAAAAGTTGTTCCTTTATCTTCAAAAACCTTAAAATAAATGGAGTTTCCACTCCCAGGAGTGGAAGTCTTGCTGATGAGCTGAATGACAGCAAACCTCACATATAGCATAAATATTTTCCAAACACCAAAAAGTAAATTCTGAGTATTAACAGCCCAAGAGTGACATTTGATTATTCCATTAAATCAACCACATTGTACCAAGTATTTTATATTTTATTTTGGCAGTGAAATAATATTTGTTGAATATGAATCCTGAAGGCCTGATGAAAACAAAACTTCTGTTATGATAAGATTGCAGGATTAGCCTCAGCTTTAGTAATTAATGGCCTGCTTCCAGCAAATTTAATATGGAATGCTTGAGACTGGTTTGAGATATATATGCCACATATGTTTATGTCTGCAAATCAGCAATTTTGTATATTTAATATGGTATAAACTTAGACCTGTTTATGGTGGGTTTTACATATGGGTGGTCCTCCTATATTCTTAATTAGTTATACATAATTTAATTACTGTTGTAGTATATGCAGTCAAAATACAAATGTGTTACAGTCCTGATTTGAAGCTCCCAGACACAAAATGCTTGTCATTATAATCTTCTAGATATTAAACACCAGCTCAGATATTCATCACTGATAATTTGGAATAACTGATAATTTCATTATTTCAGATAGTAGAATAATGCTCAGTGGAGCTTACTACTGTGTAAAAAAAATATCTTCCACATGATGAGCCTCGTGCCATCAGGAGCAGTGTGAATGGGCATGAGGAAATTTGACAGGAGGATGACTCCTGTCCCCTCCTTTCCCCCAAGCTCTTGTGGTCCCAAAGCATCTTAGCAAGACCCATGGAGTGTAGCACTGAGGCTCTTGGGACCACTCAGCTCATGGTCAGCTCCCAGTGGAAATGGGTCTTGAGTGACCACAGTAATGCTGGGCACAAAGAACATATTTCACTCAGCTTAAGAGAGCCTCCCACATTTCCCACTCACGTTTTTTATGCACACCAGAAAATAAAATAAATTTGTGTTTAGTTAGAAGACCATAAAGTCAAGATTATACCCTTTCTGCAGAAACAGAAATCAATTGCATCTCACCTGATACAGGACTTTATGATTTTTTCAATCATTCCCCTGAGCTTGCACATCTCTTTAATATTACCTTGTAATTTTTCATTTAAAGACTCTAAAGTCCAGATACTTTGCATAATAAGACATAATCAAAATTTTAGATGAGAATAAAATAATAATCTTAATGAAGCTACACTGAATTACATTAACTATTTTTGGGAACTCTTTGGATTCATTGTGGGGACCACTTCTATATTCTAGAGTCGTTTCTAGATATTTGTTGCTTCTAAAGCTCTTCTGATAAGATTTTAGACCCTGTTCTTAAAAAAAAAAAAATAAAAAAATTGAGATATTTTGAAACAAAAGTTCTTCCTGACTTGAAATTATGTTATCATAAACCTTTCCTTATGGACATTTTCACCATTTTCTAACACTGTTAGTCAGATTCTCCTGGCTTCAGAATCTGACTGCATTTGTTAAAGTTGTTAAATCTGCACTTGCTATGTTATATATATATACACTTATTTTGTAATTACGCAATGCTATGGTAATGTACAATCTGCAGTCTTTAACTGGATAAATCCCTCACCTTTCACGTGTCAGAATGATTTGCCAATAATCATGACCCTTGTTACCTTCATCACTGCACATCTGAGATTCCTCCTTGTACAGGTCATTTTCTGCCAAAACAGGAGCAGTATAACAGGAACTGTGTTGGTCTCCTCCTATGGAAGTGGTCTGCTGACAGGCATTGAAAAAACTGAGGAACAACTGTAGTTTAGTTTTCAGAGAGCCCAGGCATGCAGGGAAGCCAGGATCTGACATTTCCATCCTCTTGGCACAGGTCTGAGCTGCAGATCTCAGATGATACAGCAAGGCTTTTAGGAAAACTCTTACCTCAGACAGGGCAGCCATGACCAGGCTTCCTAATGGCAATGCTCCCTGACTGGTGTTAATTCCTGAACCATGCCTTGGTGGGGTCTTGGAGAGCTGCAGACAGCCTGAGCCAAAGCTCTGCAGGGACTGAGAACAGTTCAACAATTAGGACAGGTCCAGGACACTGCTCAGGCCTGGTGCTCTGGTTTGCTGGTGGAGATGACAGTTCTGAGCCACCTTTCCTACACGTCACCTTTTGTCCTGGGGAGATGTCATCTTGGCTCTGCATGAATTCACACTGAACATCTGCTCATCATGCTTGTCTGTGCCCATCACACATGGAGAAGCAGAAAAACAAATCCTGCAGCACCTCAATTACATAGATTAGATACCTGGGATCAAATAAGATGTTTGCACTGTTGCAGACAAGCCTAGGTAAGACTGTGCTCTCAGTACAAGAGAAATACAATTCATTTATGAAAACAAGCAGGAGTTGCCATTCACCTCTCATCCTTTCAGATGTTTGGTTCTTGTTGCACACATTGTGATATCCACAGGTCCTGAATACCAAGGTGTAGCCAAGCAAAGTTTCATTGCATTCTGATCCTTTGGAAGCCATTGTGCAGAGGTTTTATATAATTCATATTAATTTATATCATATTGTTCAGGTTTTATTTAATTCTGCTCTTTCTTCCTGTTTTTATTCAGTCCTCTGTCTCACCCATAAACTATCACCTTCTCATTGATTCTTCACATATAATGGGATTTCTAGGGCTCTCCTATTATTAGTTACTACCAGATGAAAGAAGATATTTGGATTGTTTCACAATTGTTGCAATTTTGCCCTCCCTAAAGGGAATCTTGCCACTGGCCTTGGCTGGAGGCCTCTGCTGGAGAACACTGCTACAGGTGTGTTCTGGGACACTGTGCCACCAGTACCTTGCAGCATAACAAATTTGAAGCTAATTATGCAAAATTTATTTTCTTTGAGATCTTACAGACCATCCTGGAATCGACTGCTTATGATTGCTTTGGAAAGCTCACCTCTTTTTGCATCTGCACCACCAGCAGTGACAGACTGTTGGTTTGGAGCAGTCTCACCCCCTCCACTCCAGAAGGAAGATGCTGTTCCTGCCCACTGTCCTGTCTGAAGCCAAGCACACTCCATGCCAAGGAATAAATTGATATTATCACACAGAGAAGGCTCACAGAAAATGTGTTTGTAATTCTTCAGCTCTCTGAAATCTTCACAGTGAACTGGGAAGAACATGGAAGTACTTTCAGATTCATGCTGCTGAAAACACTTTTTGTTCTTATGCCCACACATACCTGGTAGAACCATGTCTCTGCCTCCTTTAAACATTCTTTTAGCTAATGTACTGCATTATGCATATTATTGGAAAAGAAAATGAAAAGCAGACTCCTCTTGAATTCTATCTGTAATTCTCTGTGTTAATTTGCACAACTGACAAAAATCACTCAATATGGGAAATGAATCTTTTCTCACTGGTTTTGCATATAATCTGTTAAATTTTGATTGAGGTTATCTGTCTAACTTGTAGGCCTACATATGCAAATCAGAGGTTCCAAGTATTGTGTTTGGCTAACAGCCAGAAATTCTGACTCACAATCAGTAGAAAACACAAAAGAAATTTTCCTGTATCAGTAAGGAGGAAATTAGCTACTTTAAAAAGTATTTTTCATTGCTTCTTCATGACTCTTAAGTACTAAGAATACTTGAGGCTGAACAGCATCATTACAGTTAATGGAAATTTTTTTATATATAGAAACCAATATAAAAAGATAATGTCTCATGAAGTACTTCAATCTTTGGAAGGCTCTCCTGGCTCTCAGAACCAGCAGAGATTGTGTGAACTTTGAAAATCAGCCTCAAAGTTTTTTATCAATGTCTTGTGGTTCAAACAAGAAAATGTGTTTTCCATGTTTGTACCTAGTCAGGTCTCCCAGATGCTTTCTAGCACAGATGACAGAGAGTATTATTCATATTTTACTCTTACAGTGAAGTGATACAAATGAAAAACAGAACTTAGCTGTGGACACAGTCTGTAGAACAGTGCTGGCACTAATGCCACCACACAGTGGGGTTCAGGTCACAGCACCATGCACCCTCTGATTCCCTGTGCCTGCATTTCCTGTGGGGTCAGTGCTGTGCAGCATGAGGGCAGCCTCGTGGGGATTGTGGTTCTGGAGCCATGAAGATGGGACACAGTGAGACAAGCACTGCAGCTGCCAAACGTGGAGCCTCCTGCCAATCCTTGCTCCAGTGTCCACGCCACGGCCTTCTGTGGACCAAATAAACCCATTCCACAGGCCTGCTCATTTTGAATGATGACTTCTGAAACTTTTTGATACCCAGGATCAGTTGTCAAGACGGGCAAGATCTGCAAGTGAAAAGAAAATAAAGTCAAAAAACTGTCCCTTCCTTTGGCAGTTTGAGAGAAATTAGCAGTCAGGTTAAATTAGAGAAAAACAGCCTAGAAATGTCATATGAAACTGCTTCTCTCTCACTTCTCCTCCTCTGCACTGTGATGCAGGTGAGAAGACATCCCAGTGACAGTGGATGAAGCAGTGCAGCAGCTCTGGGAGAGTGCCCAGCACCCAGTAGAAATTCTGTAGGGATTCTGGGGACAGTGGGAGGGAGCTGCAGGGCAGACTGTGCTGCTGGGCCTCAGGTGACAAGAGAATCCATTGCAGTAACCACTTACCTACCAGAAGGTGTCTGACAGCCTGCAAAGGAAGCACAGCCACCTGCCCACACAACCTCTCTTTCAGCATAAATATTCGTCACTCTTTGCTAGTGTAATGTTCCTGGAGACCTTCTGGGGACAAGAAGCTCCTCTCATTAACCTCATTACCTCACCTTGCTTCAGCCACTCATGCCTTCCTGGCAGATTTACAATTTCTCCTGCAAATTTCCCCACGGAAGGCAATTTTAATTGCAGTTTTGCTGCAAGCCATGCAATTTAGCTGTCTACAGGAATTTCCTCATGTTGATCCTATATTCTACTTGACTTGAAATATGCACCCTGCACTGTGCTGAGTGTCAGCAGGTAGCAGGTGAGTGTGGCTGTGGGCAGACAGATGTCAGGGCTGTGTCCTCTCTGGCCTCTACAGAAGACTTGTGCAGGGACTATGGCATCCCAATACTGCATCAGGTTAATTAGATTGTACTGGTAATTAAGTTAAGGAGCCCTGTGCAGCAGGGTCGAACTCAATCTAATAAATGTGTTGAACAGAAACCAAGCAATCCACTTCAAGCATGCTCAAAGTACTGAGTGGCAAATTGGAGAAGAGAGAAAGATGGAGAACAAAATCAGAAGGATGAGAATGAGAGGTGAAATATGAAAAGAAAGGGACAGGCAGAGGAGGTAGTGCAGAAACCAACATGGACAAATATTAACATAAGAAGAGTATAAAGAGAAAAATAGCTATTATAAAGCATAATTAATGCCAGGATACTGAATACCAATAACAGCCAGGCAAGGTCTTGGGCTTCCAGATTTCAAAATGTCTTGATTTTTAAAAGCTTGCTCTAAATCCTGGAAATATATATATATATACTTATATTTATATATTTATATATTTATATATATAGTTAAGAAATAATGTGGTTGACTGAGAAATTACACTATTTACCCTGGAATGGAATATGCCCATTATTTATGGTAGGAAATGTAGTCACCAAAATGAGACTTCTGAAGGGGTTTGTGCCTAAAATATACCTACAGATTGCATGTGTGAAAAATCTACATTGAATGCTCACAGTATGATTAATATATCATCTGCAGAGAAAGAATAATAGTTTTTTTCATAGATACTTTTTTTCCTCTGGTGCAATGTATATGATATTACCAACAACAAACTATAAGGCATTACAAAAAAATGCTGGTTTTAATAAAGAATTAAAACCCACCAACTCACATAGCTCTCCCCATACACCACTTTTTTTTTTTTAATATCCTTTCTCAGTGAAATTTAAAGTCTTTACAAAATCTCTACATATTGCATGTGGAACCTCAGCACAAAAGTTTGCTGGTGCCATATTATTTTCCTTACAGCAACTATAATCGATACAACCAAGGCTCAAAGAAAAGTTTTATGGCAGTGAAATTGATCAAAATAGCTTAGATCTCATTAAAAATATTTACAATGTTGTTTGTTCATATGCTGGCTACATTTATCCATGGACCAAGGCTCAAAGAAAAGTTTTATGGAAATTGATCAAAATAACTTAGATCTCATTAAAAGTATTTACAATGTTGTTTGTTCATATGCTGGCTACATTTATCCATGAAAGATAAAGAGCAAAGAGGGATAAAAACATGGTGCCCTAATGTCTGAAATAATTGGTGATTATATTAACACTTGATTTTACAAGGAGTCAAGCTCCTGAAGTCTAGCAGCTGTAGGAGTATTTAGGCTTTGTTTTGTTGTTTGTTGTATTTTTTGTGGTTTATTTTCTTTTTTGTTTTCTTTTTTTTTTTAACATGTCTCTAATCCTCAGAGCTGCAATGAAAAGTTTAAAAATATGACTGGAGAATCAAAGGTCATATTTGAGATCTTAGAGGGTCAAAGGAAAAAAAAATAAGGATAATTCCTTATTGTGCTATTCTGAAATGATAAACATGCTTAAGGCAATATCCTGATGGGGAGAGGTTGATTTGTGATTTTTTTTTAGGTTTGGGAGTTTGGCCATGCTGACTTTATGTCACTTTCTGAAACTTTTTTTACAATAACCACAATTATTCACACCAATAATCTAAAAAAAAAGGAAGAGTTAATTTAGATTTAAAATACTAAATGTAGAAAATAAATTATAATATTGTGGGAAACAATTTTGCATAAACAAGGGAAAGGAGTATTTATATGGTAGATTTTATTCCACCTTGAATTAATTAATGAATTTAGTTAATTAATTTAAGGAAGAATGACCAGAAGATCTGCATGCTTACAACACCAATTGCTAAAATCCTTCTAAAGAAATTCTATCTTCTCTAATTTTTTAACTTTCAAGACCCAGTAGCTAGAAAAACCTTGTGACAGTTTTTTCACAGGCATGATTATTAGTAATTTTTTCATTTTTTAAATCCAGTCATTCCTATATCCCTTGGCAACAGCACTTTGTTGGCAGAGTTTATATAAATGTTGGGAGAAAGTAGATGTTACAGACCTGTCCACATCCCTTCCTGAGCTGGTGTCAGTGATCTTGGTCCCTGTTTCATTTCTGGGTCTGTTTCCTTCCATGACAGTCTGTAGGAACCTGTAGGACAGTTATCTATTTCATTAAGGGGGTCATATTTTTATTTAATTCTCTATTGTTTTAGAGAAGTGTCTTCAGGCTTTACACCCGACCAAGCTTTCCACCTGTTAAATACTGAGACTTCCAAAAGGAGGGAAATAAATCTGAATTCTTGTACTTTTTGATGATAGCCACTGCAACCCTGTATTTTTTCAGAAGACAAGATTTTTGAGGAAAATTCTTCTGCCTTCTCTCCTCAATCGTTGTTTTATAGAATCCCCTAAGATTTGTTGGGAGTGATTACAGTGTCACCTTTGTGAATGCATACACACACATCTTTCAGCCCAGGGAAAATCTGAGTTTAAGCGCTGTGATCAAAGGTCTGTGACTGTAACGGGCTTGGCCTTACCCTCAAATTCAGGCAGTGCAAAAAGATGCAGAGATTGTCAAGGGAAGAAGAGCCACTTCTGAAACAAACCCTCATATTTTGATGCAGCATGTCTGCTTGTTTAAACCACCTGCTGTCCTGAAGAAAAGACACCAAAAGGACAGAGGTCCTTGCTGTCCCAGACTCCCAGCCCTGGCCTCAGCCCTGGTGGCACTGCCGTGGGGCTGCTCTGGGGCAGCAGCACCGCCACAGGTGAAGCGATGTTGGGAGCTTTTCCTTCTCTGGGACCCGGGGACGCCAAATCCATTCTCCCGCGGGGGCTGAGCCGCCTCTTTCGCTCGGCTGGATCTGCAAGCGAGCTGAAGGCTTTTTGGAGGGAGGGAGCGGAAAAATCTACGTTCAGGAGCGGACTGCGGCCCTCCCGGCTTGGCACACGCTCCCTGCCTGCCCGGCAGAGGCAGGGCAGCCTGGGGTTTTGCCCAGAGGGAATGAAGCCTGGCGGGGCCCGCTCCTTGCCGGGCTGAGGGGAGCGGTGCCCCGGGGGAAAGAAATCCCCCTCCCTCAGGGCACGGCCGGGAGAAACCCTGAGGGGAGGGCGGCGAGAAAACAGCCTGGGAGGTCGGCAGGGAGGGAGGGAGAGGAACCGCGCCGCCTTCGGGCGTTTTTGGCAAGGTGAAAGGCAGCCTTTTCGCCCACCTCCGTGCTCCGGCAGCCCGGGGAATGCAGGCACAGCTCCAGCCGCTCTCCCCGCGCCGAGGGGCCGGCGGCGCGGCCCGGGGCGGGCGGCAGCCGGGGGGAAGCGGCCGGACTGCGGGAAAGTTGCGTGCTGCTCGTTTCGCAGCTCCTGGGGAGCCTGCTGGGGCTCTCGGAGAGCCCGGACACCTCCTCCCATCCTCCTGCCTCCCTTCGCTCCCTCCCTCCCTCCCTCCCTCCCCGCGGGACAAAACAGTCCGCCAGGAGCGTCGCCCGAGCGCTTCCCCTTTTCGGGTTTTGTAGCCTTTGAGTGTTTGGGGGATTGTTTTTTTAATTTTTTTTTTCTCTCTCTTTCGGTGAGTGTGTGGCCGAGCTGGGCAAGGGGAAGGAAACTTTCTCCCCCCCTCCCCCAGGATGCTCCGGATATTTTTGAAAGGGCGGAAGAGTGAGAAAGGGAGCAGCGTCTGTAAGGGCATCTCATGCTCCTGCGAAGGTCCCCCCTGACACCTCGCTGCTGGCATTAAAGACGGGAGCTGGAGAAACTCCTCCCCTTCCCTCGGCTTCTCTCCTTCTCCCCCCCTCCTCTGGCTTCGCCCCCCCACCCCCAAATTTCCTAAGGCCATTAGGAAGGGGGGGAAAAAGAAAAGGAGAGAGAAGAAGAAAGAAAATAAGGAGCCTGGAGTAACTGCGGCCCGTGGGACGGTGGGGAGAGGTGGAAGAGGAGCCTCCCTCTCCAGCTCCATCGCTCAGCACCACGCTTGGGTGAAGGCATGGGAAGCACTGCCATGGACAAGAAGAAAGATGCCTCCAGCAGCAGCAGGAAGGGCTCCAGCCACAAGAAACTCATGTTGCGAGTGCACATCCCCGTAAGTGGCTCCTCGCTCTCCCTCCCGTTCGGCAGCTGGCGGGGCTTAGGCGTGTTTTTCTCTGACAGGGAGAAAGGCAGGGAGAGGTGTTTCCTGCCGAGCCCTGCAGTTCGGGGCATGCTGGGCTGGGGGTGCACCCCTGCTGCAGGAGAGTCCTCACAGCTGGGTGGGCTGAACAGCGGGGCTTGGCCCCCGTGCCGTGCTGGGAGCCCAGGATGCCGTGTCCGTGGCACGGAGGTGTATCCCCTATCCCAGTGCCAGAAGTGACTCCCACTCCCTGCTGTACAAGTGCCCTGGGCTGTGGGTTTGGCTCGGTTTGTCTCACCCAGTTCCCTCGCAGACTCGCAGCGCGGTGTGGCAGAAGGTCTGCTCGCCCCCAAACGCTGGTCTCAGCATTCCCGGGTTTGGCTCCGGGAACTGTCCCTGCCTGTGGCTGAACCAGCCTTTACTCTGATTCTTCCCTCTCGAGGTTAATCACTTCTGAATTTCCCAGGGCTGGGGAACCCAGAGCTCACTCAGATTTGGGTCCGAGCAGTCTGGTTACCAGCTCTGTTCTGTGTATTCCACTATAAAGTAACATACAAGAAATTCTAGGTATAGATACAGAATAACTACAGATCAAAAGTTTCTGTTTCCAGTGAGTACTACAAGGCTGACTGGCTCTGTCCTCAGAATTAAATGCCTTTCAAAACTTAAATTACTGGGGTTTTTTACTATTAGGATGTTCTTGTGATCTATGTAGCTATTAGTTTTCTATTATCAGTCGTGATGTACTTTTGGTTTCAATGCTTCTGGCAAGAAATGGCAAAGTCCTTATATCTTCTCTGTGCCCTCTGTTGTTTTATTGCTTATTGGTGTTTGGTTTCTTTTTTTGTTGTTTTGTTTTGTTTATTAGTTTGTTTTAAATCTCATTATATAAAAGTGGGAAACAGTTCTACACATATCTCTGCCAGGCCACCAAGGAGCAAAAAGATATTTGTGGTTCTAAGATTTTCCTTTGTTTTAGGAAAGAATAAGAAGTCAAAGCAAATTTATTAGGTGTCTCGAGTGTGTGGAATAAAATGGAGGAAAAGTACATGACTTTTCTGCAGATTTTATTTTTCTCTGGGGAGGAATGCAAGCCCAAGAGCCCAAGCCAAACTTCTGGAGCTCAGAGTGCATTCAGTACTAGAAGAAAAGGGTCTGTTTCTGCTAACAGAAATGGGTGTTGCCTACGAATTTGTGACAGAAGATTTTAGGCAATAAACTTTACCATGTTGCCAGTAGTACTTCACAATAGGGACGTAAAATACCAGCAAATAAAATGTAACACACCAAAGCACCACTACCCCTGTGCTCATTATCCCTTCCCACCCTGCCTGCAAAATTGTCTCTGCCATCTCTTTCCACTGCCCCCCCACCTCTGACTCAGTCTGGCCAGAAACTCTGGTGCAGTTCGATCCCCACAGCTGCTCTCAGGAGCTGCATTTTCTGCCTGCTGAGGAGCCACAGGTAGTTTTGGGTTTTCCTGTGCTTGTTGCAGGATTTTACAGCACGCACCTGGTGTTTTTGAAATACCTGCTGGTCAGCAGATATCTCTGACTACACCAGAACTTAGAACAATTTTCCTCCTTTTATGGTGCGAAGCTAACATGAAAAAAGTACTTAAGGAACTCATTAGCACTAAATCATTATTGACAGAGGAATGCTAATGCTTTTTTCCCTAATTTCCTCCCTAATCCATAGACAACCTTTAGTCATGAGTGTTGCCTTAGTTCTGTCTTGGATGGAACAGTTTTAGTAGTGGATCATAATTTTTAATGTTCATCATCTCTTGGCTTTTTGCTATGCAGTTTGTCACCTGGGTAGTGGTAGGGACTCAGTACACGAGCTTGCAAATGCCTGATGTTACACTGAAGTCAACATAAGTTTTGTTGTTCACCCAGTTGGTAATGAGATAACACCTTCCATCCTTCCTCTCCATCCCCTAAATATGACCCTTCTCTTCCATTCTGCATCATTCTGACATTCCTCAAATGGACTATTGAGCCCATGGTTGTACTCGTATTTTTAGTGGTTTTCTGTAATCTGGCAGAGTTTGAACATGGCTGTGCTATAAGAAAGAACATTTTTCACATTCTCCTTACTTGACAGAGGAATCTGCATTTGAAAAGATCTGTTTAGACTGAGGGTTTTTTTCTCTTTCATAACGTTGTCTTGGCTGTTGTTTTGAAGCATCATTCCTATTATTTCAGTGGCGCCTGTCAGTGTAGCTGTAGTTGTCAAGGGAGCTTTCACCAGACTGTAATTTTTATTTTGTTCATCCTCTTCTTTGTGTTTCTGTGAGATCATGTTTATTGCTGAGACACGTAATTCATGCTCATTTGGATCTTCAAATTAGGAACAAGAGAAGAACTAACAAGGTCTGTGTAGGAGGGGAGAGAGGAGTCCAATCTGAAAGAGAAAGCAGTGGGACAGAGAGGTACTGTTGTGATGCAGGCTGACCTAAAACATATTTATTGGTCATGCAGAAATGCTGATTGAAAAAATAATATATATTATGGAAAAAAAAGGGGGGAAGGATGCAAAATACACTATAATTAGCTTAGAGGATTCTGTAATAACAGGGATTTCTGAAAAGAAAGTTGTATGCATTTCTTCCCTCCCCCACATAGTTTTATTGTTTTGGGTTTGTTTGTGACAGTGGGGAAAAAACAGATCAATTTAAGAAAGCAGGTTTATGGTTTGCAATACTCCAGGGCATTTCTCAGGTACACCTTTCTCAGGGAAGAACAAGACATGACACAAAAAAATCTGGAAACACTCTATTTTCACCTTCTTTCTGTGCTCAGCCTCCCTCAGCACAGGTGGGTGCTGCCCTGCCTGTACTTCTGGGAGTGATGGTGGATCACTAAATTCCTGCAGGCTGGCTTTCCCCACTGCTCTCAGCTTGTGTTCAGGAGTCAAGAATAAAGTAGGGGCCACTCTGTTCTGTGGCATGGCAGAGGAGTGTTTGCTAAATGCTGGGATGGTGGAACATCATCTTGTTTGGTTGTTGTTTTCTTTGTGAATACACAACTGACTTAAACTAGTAATTTAGATGGACCAGAATATAATTGCAGGAGCCTTTGTAAAGGTCATATCGACCTCTGTCTGTCCCAGCAGCACATTCAGAAATCTTGAAATGAGAGATGCCTAAATGGAAATTTCTGGTCCAAATATCTTTGAAAGCTGCTACAGATTTAAATAGAAACCTTTGCTCTCAAGATGCATCATAGCTGTAATATGAAGACATTAGCATTATAAAATTCCTTTTTAAGCCATTAGAAGTTAATGCTTGCACATTGCTTTGAACATTTTTAAAACTCTATTCTGAGATGGGATGCAATTGTCTGCTGAGTAGGAGCTCACAGCAGTGAGATCAGAATGTTCTTTTGTCATCTTGCAAAATCGATCTGTTCTAATGTTAACGTTGCCATTGTAGGCCCCTGGTGCTGAAAAAAATTCTGCTCTTGTTTACTTTTAATTTCATCTGGGATGGTTCAGTCAGTGCTAGCAAAGTTATGTTGTATTTACATGAGCACAGCTGAGGGCAGAACCTCTCTCAAGAGCTTCCCTATGCCAGGTGCCAAGCACATGCTGCTCCCAGCAGGTGGGAATTGCAGGAGCTTGGCACTTCCTTGGATTTTTCCCAAATACATCGCAAGGTGACTTTTTATTCAAAAGAACAAAGAAGTTTTTTCACAATAAGCACAAAAATAACATCTGTGAATGAATGTCAAAACACCTTTCAGTTCAGTGAGGTGGCTCTTGCCTCTGGTACTTCAGCCCTGACAGCAGAGTTGTTCCACTAGAAGGATGTGCTTGGAGATCAGGGTTCTTTATTTTCTGTGCCACACAAAGAAACATCTCTGCATAGTTTCTCCCTTTTCTTTATCAACCTCTGTGATTTGAAGAGACTCCTCAATGTCAAAATTTATTGTTTCCAGGTTTGTTGTTATGGGGGGATGCCAGGCTGAACATCAGGTGGCTTAAATATTTCTAACCCGATAGATGACAATGATATTCTGACAGCTACTGTTGGCTCAGGCTCTGCCCCTCCATCTTGCTTTCCACACTTGCAAAGTCATTAGTGGCTGCATGCCTAATAAATCACTGTGAAATTATTTTGTTCTGGCACAGTTTTTGCAGGGTGCTTCTTGTCTCCCTGTAATTACAGGGTGGGCTGATAAGAGCAGCACTTCAGTCTAGGAGTTGCTTTAGGAAGCTGCAGATGGGGAATAATATAGTGAATTCTTTCAAAGGTGAAAAGAAATCAGCTTCCAGTGTGATCTAGGAATGAAAGAAATGTTTGTTTTCTTGGGAAGAGGAGGTGAAGGGAGAAAGAGACAGAGAGAGAAATGTTTGCCTAAAATTAAATCACAACTGTTCTCCCTCTTGCTCTCCCACGGCAGGCTCCGAGTTGTCCTGAGCCTCTGTGGCCTTGAACTTTAAATTTGGATTCCTCCCTCAAGAGCTGATATATTAAGACAGGAAAGGGCAAGAGGTATTTGCTCAGGAGTGTTGGGATGGTGCTTTGAATTATCTGAAGGATAAAAGAAAGGATTCATGTTTACAATCATAATACCTGCCACTGCAATTAAGGAAGCATCAGTCTTTTTGGTTCTACAGCATAACAGAAACAGACCATCAGTATATAGAAACGTGCTGTGTCTTACAAAATACTGCTTTTCCTGGGTTTAGATTCTGCTCCTAAAGGGTCTCACCCAACCTCCTTTATTTACACCTGAGCCTGTGAGGACTGTGGGCTCAGAGGAATGTGAATTTCCTTGGAGAAATAAGTTATGAATGTAGAAGGACCTCAGAAAAATGTGGATGGTGAGACTTTTGAGCTCAGGGAAGTTTACACTGTGCTTGTATTGGGA